TTTTTTAAAAACTGTGTGTTTATTCTCAAATGGCGCTCAAGTCAAGTTCTAACCTGGTTTGGATAGCTGAATACTTTGTCTTTCAAGAAAAATTATCGGTAAGTGTTGGTTCTTCTTTACACGCGAACGCAAATTAAGTTCAGATTATTAATTTTAAGCCTTTGCGATCGGTCATTTTGGTGACCGTCGAGCGAAAATCGTTTTCCTCGATTTTCTCGAATATAAAGCGCTTCGAGCTCCAAAAAACTATATCACGTTTCATATCTACCTAAGGGCTATTTGTGGACGAAAAGATAGAAAAATCGATTTTTCAACTTCTGCCGCGCTATGTTTGCTAATTAGAAAAATTCGCTCTTAATTAAAAGCACAGGTGCACTCGCTTTTAAGAGAACTATAAAGAAAGGTAAGAAAGGATTTTGAAATTTTGTGAGCGCAAAGAAATTTAAACGACAAACAGAAATAAGCAAAGAAATCTAAGCGATTGCCAATGATCTTAAGGAATCAACCTTGTCCATGTGGGTAAGGTTTAAAGATCTTCAAACTACAAACAATGTACTATGCACAAGAGCTAGGATCAATAAGGGACTAACCAGTGAGAGGCAGANAAATCGTTTTCCTCGATTTTCTCGAATATAAAGCGCTTCGAGCTCCAAAAAACTATATCACGTTTCATATCTACCTAAGGGCTATTTGTGGACGAAAAGATAGAAAAATCGATTTTTCAACTTCTGCCGCGCTATGTTTGCTAATTAGAAAAATTCGCTCTTAATTGCTTGTCGTTTTCGGTGGCACACAAGGCAGGCGTAGAAAGGGCGTGCATTGGCCACCGGACTGACACGCCCAGTGCCTTTAATAGAGTTTGAGAAAGACGTTTACAGCAGGCAGCATAAAACCTCTAATTTTGTTTTCTTTTCCTCTAATCCAACAAAAAAGATGGAAAAAGAAACTTCTATTCACAGCAGATAGACAAGTATAATTTGCGACGCGAAGAAATATTCAGATAAAATTTCCATTGCACGAAAACTGATGAAATGCCTCGTTTAGTCAACATGTTTGCAGAGGACTTTATGCATTGCTCGATTTGTCATGAGTTGTGGTTATCGGAGAGTAGTGACCCCTCGAAAATAATGAAACTTTGAAGGTTTTAGGAGGCTGCTAAAAACAAACGTAATTACCCCAGGTGTATTGAAAAAAATAACATGATATATCTGCCACGTCAATTCGTAGACATTTAATACCACCCGCACAAGAGCTCACATAGAAACAAATATTTAATTGGTTAGTAAGGTTAAATGACGACCGGCTTTCAACGCAGTCTGTGTCTTTCTTCAATTACCAAACCTCATATAATTGAATGGCCAGTGCCGGTAAGAGGTAATCCTTGAGTTTAAGTGGATTCCCCGGAGGTGACAGAGGTGATCATGAGGCGGTTGACAAGCCATCAGGTATTTCGTAAATTGAAACACCCTAACTGGTTGTAGAAGCAGCGAAAATATACTACTCATAACTCAAAATTATTTTCTGAGAACCTTAATAATAAGCTGTATTTACTCCATATTAAACAGAGATCCAGTTTAAAGACATGTAAGGTTATTACCTTGGTAAAACAATGTGTTGACGGGCAAATTTCAGTCACATATGAACAACAGGTCACCAGTTCAATTGATCATTTAAGAGCAAATTACATCATATAGGCAATACCTCAATTGGCCGACTCAGTTTTACTCAGTGTTGTGTTGGTTGTCACTATGAAGGCGACATTGCTTCTTTGGTTTGCTTTGCTAAGCTGTGTTTCTTTACTGGTGGGAGCAAAATCAATCAAATCGAAGCATGGTAAGATTTCTTTCGTCACAGCGGGAGTGAAACGAATTTGTTTACGAATTATTCGAGTTTGTCTTTGTTGAAAAAACTTCGGCTTCATCAACTGATTACTCGCAATGATTAATGTTTTGATGTTGTTTTAAAGGTGTTATTTTTTCTAATTGCGCTAATTTAAAAACAAAAATAAGACAGACAGTGTAGACAGTGCAGAAAAATTGTATACCAATATCAAGCAAACAAACAACTTCAAACTAGAAGAGGTGGGCAATCCACTGAGATAAACTTAAAAGCGCTATTATAATGGAAAAAGGAAATGTTTATTTTTAAGCTAACGTCCGTTTCACGCCTTTTCAAGTTTTCTTGATCTCTTACAAAATTTGGTCACAAAAAAACCCATTGTTTTTAAGTAATTAATATATGATATATTGGGTCAAGAACTGGCATGTGTTAATGACAAAGAAGACCAACATGTCCGACAAAGACTTACTGGTAATAATCAAACGACCTAATCTGTAAACAGTTCGTCAGTAAGTGCGCTTAATTTGAATAATTTTTTGCTGTAGACGAACAGAAGGAGGCAGATGCAAATAAATGCACCTGTGAAATACCAGCAGACGAACAACAGAGGATACAACAAGAAAACTGCGATTGTTCCAAGCAGGATATGAAAAAATGTCAGAGCGACGACAAAAAGAGCTGCGATTGTCCGTCAGCGAGTAAAACGGAGAAAGGTGTCAAGTCTGAGCAATGTCAGTGCAAGAATGCTGATGACACAGAAAAGAATGATAGTCACAGAAACAGCACTAAGCGATGCGACTGCAATTGCAGTCCACGCTCCAAGTCAGGACGTGCAGCTGTATCCCAAGAGACAGATAACCCAGGTATCTTGGCAGTTGCACCCATAATGCAGCAAGCAGACGGCAGTCAGCCGCAAGGGGGGAGAAGGGGAAAGGGATCCAAGAAATGTTGCTGTTGTGACTGCTGCCATGACTGCTGCTGCCACTGTTGCGAGCCATGCTGTTGCTGCTGTCACTGCTGTGAGCCGTGCTGCTGTTGCTGTCACGAGTGTTGTTGCCCATGCTGCTGCCACTGTTGCCATTGCTGCCCCTGCTGCTGCCACTGCTGCTGTAAGAAGTCGGAGTCCTCGGCACAAGCACCAAATGCGGTGGACCCACTTATCGCTGGTGCGCACGTGAAGCCACAGCATCATTAAAAACGAAAATTCCAGTGAAACGATGTCGTTACCGGCCTAATTCACTTATTAATAAAATGACTCTCGAGAAAACCCTGTCATTGCCACAATATTATGATGAAAGTAACATTGACCATGTGTAGTGGAAGTGTCAGTTCAAAATAAATATTTGAATTGTTGTCATAATAATGTCTTTCTCTTACTGAAGTTGCTAAAGAAATGTTCGTAAGCTACCGTTTTAGATAAAAGGCAATGTGAGCTTTGTTACTAACTTGGTAATGAACCACGAGTATATACCACCTTCACGACAAAGATAACCCAACTTCGATCCTAGACTCGGAAAAACACTGACAACTGCTCTTACAAAGCTTCACGTCTGTAAATAATTTCCTTTCAAAAGAAACAAAAGTAAAATTGTTGAGCCCAAAGTTAACTTCTTTCCATCAGACGTAACTTAGAAGTTAAAGTTTTGCAACCCTTACGTGATACTCAGCAAATTTGAGAATTTGCACAAATGCTGGGAGAAGAGAGGTTCAAACCAGACGAATATTAGCACATGGGCGCGATAAGCACTGACCTGTTTGGGTCAAAACATCATTTAGGGCTGTCAACAACTACAGAAATTGACAATAGACATTAAAGCGCATGCTCAGAAATATGAGGGAAATACCCTTTGGACTCTTGTGGTGTAGGTGTCGTGATTTACAATTCTGTAGTTTTCGGTTTTCAAAATGCAGCTCATTTGCATTTTTCTTTGCAACGTATTCCACGATTCTACGTCAGCTCCACAAAAATCAAACAACAAATGATTACTGTTAAACTAATTTAGAAGTGTGAGTAATACAATTGCTCATACTTTCCAAGTATTTTTCTTCAATAGTCATTATAAAGACATTGCAAAATTATTTTCGCTATACAGACTGGGAAACTATTGCTGCGCATTTTTCAGTGCCAAATGCTTTGTAGTAGAAGTGAAAAGAGAGAAACGTTCTAATTAACAGTATCTAAAAACAGTTAATGAGGCCTGTTCATAACAGGTGTTGCTACGGTAATTGTTCCTACCGGTACCAGCATTACCCAGGCGAGAACAAGGGTCATTCTGTCTTTCTACGCTTCAATATGATAGGGGAAGTTTATTGAACTTCTATGATTAACAATGGCCTTTACACTGCAAAAGAACAAAATTTGGTTAATTTCATCAACTGGAAAACCTTATTTTTCCAATTTTCCCTCACAACCTAGGTACTATGACAGAAATGTTTGTCAACAGGATACCAGGGACTGATTACTCGTTCGCCTTAGCAAAGTTTCACTTGCGGCGAAACCTATTTTACAAAGATTTTCAGCGGGGTGATGTTTTCTTGATGAACACCTAAATTGAGATGTGAACTAAACAGACAAAGGGAGGATTATCTGTTATCAAATGGTCAGCCCGATCAGTATATTATTTGGTATCTGGGCGCGGTGAAATCCGCCTACCCGACTGCGATGCATATGCAAAATAAAATTCTCTGTTGGGTCTCAGTTTTTTCATGAGTTTTCTTTCTTACGACTCAGCACTGATTTTGAACGCAATATGGATTTTGATTGCTTTGCTTGTCTTCCAACTAAATTTAAACACTCCTGTTGATTTGTTTGTTTATGTGTTTATCTTAAAACGTGTGGATAAAATATAGCCACTAATTCACACAACAAACATTCCTTTGACCTTCCCTTTCAAGGAAAACTGTGTCTCGATGTTACATGTATTTTCAACTATTGGTGTATTTCAATTTCTTGCAGAAATGCCATTTCGACCTCTGGTATGCATTTAACCTGTCAGTTGTTTTATCTTTTCCTGCGTCGACATTTTGCCTTCTTCGTCGAGAAGAATAAAATTATTACTATTCCCGTAATTTCAAAAAAGGTTTTCGTAATTCAGCAGTCTGCCTCCATTTTTAACCGAGCACTGTTTGTTAATTTTCTGAACCATCTTTGTAGTAAAATTGCTACAGTTCATTAATTTTCGACACAAAGCGATAAATCAAAGCCTCTTCTAACTAAACGCTGGCAGTTGGTGGTGCATTCACGCGTCTTGTTATAAGCTTGAATTGACAAGAAAAGAGAGTTTTGCAAAATTAATGAGAAGTATCGATTGGAAAAGGGTGACTTGTAAACAAAATTGTACTGGACGCTGAGATTTGATGTTTTTTTTTTTCTCAACCGCGCACAATAAAGAAAAGTAAGTTCAAACTCTAGGCTCTCCTTGCCTGCAAAGACTGGACAAAGTTTAACAGAAGTGACCAACCGGAAATTTGACCTTGTTTCCGAATTTGGAAACAATGAGGTGTCACCTAATTTGTAAATGACCTGTCATCCAATAGAATTAAAGAAGAAGTAATCACACAATAGAACACCCTAGCCAACCAAAATTCATGTAGTAAATATTTCAAATCTTACCTAATTTCAAGTCATTTTACGGGAATTGCAGTTTATGAGACAATATATCGAGGCGAAGATAGTTAGTTACATTGTTGTTGTTTACGATACCTCTATTTGTTGCGCCTAAGGTTTAGAAAAACACAGCAGCGAAAGATGATGAAAACTACCTTGTTATTGGTAGTTTTCACATTATTTGTTGTCGTCTATCAAACATCAGCCGTTCCTGTGGCCTCCTCTTACAAGATAGAAAATGAAAATGTTATGGACGTAATGGAGGCCAAGGAGAAAAGTGAAGAGGCCAGTGACGATGAAAAGGCCAAAGATGATGAGGAAGAAGAGGCGGATAAGGAGGAAGAAAAATCTGATGAAGAGAAAAAAGAAGATGATGTGAAAAACGACGACGAAGACGAGAAGGAAGGTGAAGAGAAAAAGGAAGACGAAGAAAAGAAGGAGGATGAGGAAAAGAAGGATGACGATGAGAAGAAGGAAGACAAGGAAGAAGATGAGGAGGAAGACAAAGAGGAGGAACCTGATCTCAACGACCAACAGAATGATCAAGAGTCATCTGGGGAAGAAAGTGTAGATCTTGACTCCGATCATCTCGTGCTTCAGGGAAGCGGCAATGGAAAAATCAAAGGAGTGGTGATAGACGATTCAGACAAAGAAAAGGACAAACCCGAGAAGCGATCCGTTGATGATAGCAAAAAGCCTTCCAAGAGTGCACAAGGTAGATTCATTTTCGTCTTAAATAATGATTTGTTTCTATCTTAACATTGTTTACAGCCATGTATTAAATATATGTTGAGTCTTAAGGGGGTAAGTTGAGAAACTGGCCAAACAAGAATTGCCAGTTTAGCTCTTTACGAGGTATGTAATAAATGACCCGCTTAATGAATATCCTCGGAAAATTTCTCTTAGCGTAAAATTAATAAATATCTAGAGGTCGTAGCATTTTAAACGGGATATTCGACTTCTAAATACAATGTTTCAGGGAAAATCGTAATCGCAAAGACCAAGTCATTAATATTTTATCGGACTTTGGCGCTTTGCAATTCGGTTGTGTCTTCGAATTTTAGGAGGCAAAACAAATCAAGTCTTGACTTTCTTTAGCAAAGACTTAAAATTACCACAGCGCTGAAAGGTAACCAGATGTTTAGGAGTTTAAGGGTTCAAAGGAATTTCTTGTTGTTAAATGAAGCGTTCAAAGATTACAGGTCGATAACCACCTGCACTAATCAATATAGAAGAGATGAACTTATTTTTTAAACGTGTTTTATTTACGTTAAGGCTAAATATTGTATTTCCTGATCAAAACTTCTTCACTATGAAATATCAAAAGATCCTTGTTTCTTATTTGAAAGTGAAATTGAATGGTTAGAGTTTTGAACAAAAGAATAATTCACGAGCTGAAATCTTTTAACACTGCAAAGTTCTTAAGAAGGCACGTTTATCGTGGCTTTAAAAAAGGGGTAACCTCATTTGAAAGATTAACTGAAGCTTCTAAAATGTTTATGTCTGGATCGAAACGTATGCCTACATGTAGTTCGTCGCATACGGAACTAGCTAATTGTATTGATAATCCAAGTCGTCATTATTTTCTCCCCTGTGTAATTGATACGCCCAGCAAACACGTCCGAAGAAAGAGCCCTCATATCAAAAATGAAAGTTTTGTGCTAAATTTCAGCGTCGCAGCTGGATAGAAAATTATATTTAAAACAGCAAATTTTGCATGGACTAACTTTATAAATTTGCATGTTATATTTTTGCATGTTGCATGATACTACTTGCATGAACAGTCCAAGATAAACGTAGCTGTTGTGGTTGCTGGGGTGAACCAGGTGAAGGCTGCGGCTGTGGTAACTGCTGTGGCGGCTTTGAATGCCCCCATTGCTGCGGAGGCTGCGGGTGCGGTTGCTGTCCGCATCTGAACTTCCCCGTCACGTTCGGTGCATGTGTTAACAATCCGTGCTGCGAATGCTGTCAGAAAAAGCCACCGAAAGGCAAATGTCAGTGGCCTTGCATGTGGCCCTGCTGCTGCGAATGTGACCCGCCTAAGTTTAAATTCACACCAATCAAGCCCAAACCGATGTGCCACTGTCCACACTGCCATGGATGCTGCGGCGGAAAGAAGAGCGCAGGTTAGTTGACATCTTTGCTGTTAGTTTGTAAAGTCCTTCCTTTGAATTCGAAGTTCTGGAAGAAAACTTGCGTTTAAGATAACTGATTTTAGTCACTCGGATTTCAATTTACCTTTCCTCATTTTATAATGCTTTATTAAAGATAAAACCATTTATTGAGGGGGGAAGGTCCTTAGTCATTAGCCTCAGTCAATACGTAAGTTTAGTCACTCGGATTTTTGTGACGAGCTGTTGTTCAGTTTTACTTGACATTTAATTACCTTTAAGTCTTAGGGTTTCTCTTGACATAATCACATGACTCATTCTTACCATTGATACATACATACTTTAAAACCTTTCTAATGAAACAATCTTGTCAAAAATCCAGATCAAACAGTTCACATACTCGCCGCAAAAAACAGCTGTGAGGCAAATGTTTCTGGTGCAAATATTTGCTTATCTTAATACATTTATCGTGGAACTAGAAGTGTCCTTAAATGAATGCAAGTGAAAATGAGAAGTGCATATACTTACTACAGATAATCACAATTCAATCTATTACACTTTGCAGGTCCATTAAAGAGAGGTGATGTGGAAAAGCGTTGCGGGTGCGGTGGATTCGGTGATGGCTTTGGATACGGTTACGGCGGTTTTGGTCCGTATGGTTTCGGTGGTTATGGACCTTTCGGTGGATACGGACCATTTGGATACGGACCTTTCGGTGGATATGGAGGATATGGAGGATATGGAGGATATGGAGGATATGGACATGGCTTTGGCCCTTTACCATTCTACTAGGTGAGTACAGTTTTTCTGTTTTACGTCACTGGACTAGTTAGGCACAGTGATAATGATAGTAACTGAACAATTTTTATAGACCAGGTGAATTAAGCCTTGGTTGAACGGAGTCATGGTTTTGAGCCAGCGTTAGTTTAAGCCTTAATCAATGAAGACACAACAAAAAACCTTACGGAGACGAAAGCAAAAAAAAAAAAAAAAAAAAAAAAA